CAATGTTTGGTTTGGAGTTTTGTAGACAGTTATCAATTGTTGATTTTAATAAATGAATTATATTATAAGATAATTTTTGATCAACTATTTATTCATAAAGGATGGGTTAATTGAACGGATTATACCCTTTGAATTATAAATAACGACGATTATAATTATTAAAAATTAATTATTAATTATATCTAAATAAGTAATCCAAATATCACAATACATACAACAATCACAAATAGAGCCATTGTGATTTAGTGGCTCAAACTGAATTAAATAAACATGAATGATCCAACATTAGTACAAATTAATTAGGTCGGAATCCCTTTTAGCCTCAAAATCAAAAAGAAAAAAGAAATTGACAAATAGTGGGAAGATTATTATTAGATGAACCCTCAAATCAGTAGTGGTGACCAAATGGGAAGGGCATCCCCATCTGCCCGCAGCATAAACCCTTTTCTTTGTTTCTCTCTTTTACATTTGTGTAATTGTGTTCCTTCGAGTTTAAAGGACAAGGCATGACCCCATCCATGTGGGTTTAGAATACTTTAGGTTAAATTTTAATTATGGAATTTTTTTATCCATATGTCACTATCTTTTTTTGTTGGTATTTTGTTGTGGGCACATGGTTGCAATCCTATAAATGTTAAAACATTTGCTCCCGAAGATTGCTGGTTGCTTACTTGGCAATGGAAAAAGCATAGTGCAATATCTATGTGTTGGACTCTCCCATGACAATGTCACATGTCGCTAATCATTTTTCATCTCCCCTTCTTTGACATTCTTTACCGTTGTTGAAAATTGAAATACCTCTTCATGATTTGTATTGATCCAAATTAATAAGAAACAGGATTTATGAGAATCTTGATCATTGTATTAAGCCACTACATGGTTTTTCTCCATTCAACTTTTGTAACTTTAATTTTTCAATAAAAAAATAATTAATTAATAAAAATTTATATTTATTTTTAATTAGTCACTATTTAAAGAAACCTTTTTAATTATTTAATATATATATATTATTATTACTTTTATAAAATAAGAATAAAATAGGAATAAGTTCATTAATATTGTATTTGGTTTGAGAGAGGGAAGGGAGGTGGAAGTTTAAATATTAAGTAGTTAAATTATAACATTTTTAAATGTTATGCTTTGATTGGTAAAAAAATTCATCTTTTTTCGTCACACTCCTTCATTTTCTTTAAAATAAATATACTATAAATAGTTAATGACTTAAGTAATTCAATAGCTATCTCTTTTCATCGGAAGTAAAAGATCTTGAGTTCAAATTGTATGGCATGCGAGTGAGGTGAGATAAGGGATGAGAGATAATTGTCTGTCATTATGTAACCAATATAAAAAAAAATACTATACATAACATTTTTTTAAGAATAAACAATTGAATTTGAATGTTTTAAATTAAAAATTAAATCTATTATAATTCAATGAAAAAAGTAGATACTTAAAATTCTGGATTTAACGCTCCACATTTAATAAGAGAGACTTAAAGAGAGAGTTATTCCTTGTATTTGTAACGCCTCATCATTACTTAAAGATAAATCTTGGTCATCATTAAGTTAGTACTTATAGATTTTATTTTTTGATCTTAGTGATAACTTTCCCTTATTTTAACTTATTCACTTATTTGTTATATAATTTGAATTTAAAACTTTTTATTCTTATTGAATTGAGATTACTACTAAATTATTTAAATTATTCGCAAATGCTCGTGGATTTAATTCAAAGAAAGAATGAACAAAGATCTTCCTACTTTCTCACGTTATCCATCTCTTCATGTTAAAGAAAGGCCGGGCAAGGCATGTGCTACTTATGAGTTTCATTATCATGAAAACAATCTTCCTAAACATTCTTCTTAAAGTTGAAGTCTCATCCATATTCTTCAGTGGTAGATATATTAATTAATTAATTAATCAACAACAAACACCATTTTTGTTAATCCTTCATTATATCAAGAACTTAATTAACCGAAAGTAAACAAAATATGAGATCAATAATTGGTGACATATGTTTTATGATTATTATCTTTGGAGATGTCATGTAATTAAATGTTGTGTCTAGCTTTCAAATCAAGCAATAGACTGATTTTGAACTGGATAGATTGATAATTAACTTGCAAAAGCTATGTATCGACCCACTTGTTTTAGTGCCTGCTTTAGATAACCATCAAATCAGGATAATAGCATGAATTGTCATATGAGTTGAAGGCACTCCTAAAAAAAGAAACCCAAAGGGGATCCCTCTGAGAGGAATGAAATCAGGAGAAAAAGACTCAAATTTGAAGAATAGATGAATTATTGGGGATAACGTTTGTGATTAGGACCAAGCACCAGAAATTGTATTTCAAGAGTAAACACTATCATTCATTCGTGTCGGTAGCATCATGTTGTCAACAAACGTTGCAATTCATTGTTGTTGAATGATAATAACCCACCACTGAGTTGGGAATAGGCCTTAAATTTGATTAAAAAGGCTTAAAAATAGGGAAAAATCAGTCCTCCACAACCCAAATATCTTCTACACAAATGAAGGAGACAAAAACATTAGTGTCTGAGAAATTGAGAAATTCCTTCCCATTTTAATTTGTTTGGTTTTGGAGAAAAAGAGTGATGGTAACATGCCGGTTAAGAATGGGTTGATATGAGTTAAATTAAAATGATAACCAAACGCTTGAGAGGCGAGGTAACATGCCTATCAACTGTTCGATAAAAGTTCAAAAAGACAAATCAGCAATTTTCTCGACGTCGACAGCCACAAAACTGTCTGCTATCCCTTTCTTTCTGCTCAATTCTACAAGCTCATCTCTTAATTACTTATCATATTCTATGGTAATGATTTTACAATTCAGACTACACAAAACCGAATATTAAGTAGCAAGGAAGGGAGGCCCTCCCTTCATGTATTGTATTGAAGGCGGGACTTCTCAACTACATATATAGTATTCAAAGTGAATGAAAAGCGAAAAAAAATTGAAAAATGGGTTGCTGAAAAGAAGCTTAAATAGGCACATGCGTGCTTCTGCAGTCTGGTGTTTGTTTTTTTTTGAACGTGTAGCCTTCCCAGGCCAAAAATGAACGCGACGCATGTGCTCTGCTTTTTCCTCTGCCTTCTTTCAAAAATCAAAATGACCCACTTTGACCCACTTTGTAAAAATCATACTTCAAACTGCCACGGCAAGAATTGTGGTAAAAAATAAGGAAAATATAAAAGCAAAAATTGTGGTCCTTGGATTCAATCAACGATGGTGTTGTTTCTGTTCCTTCTTCCCTCTACCTAAAACTTCGCTCGTGTTGAAAGTGATCAAACTCCCTTAGCACGCGTGTGTCTTGGGTGGCTGTATCTCTGAGAGTGACACTGTTTAGAGCTCTTTGTCCTCTACCTACAAGGGCAAGTGTCCTCGCGAATATGAATGTGGGGACAAGTATGGATTTTTAACCAAATTTCTCTTAAATTTTGAAGCATATCCGGACAACTAAGACTTTGGTAACTCAAATTTTAAAAAGAATCTACTTCCAAATTCACTGGATGCTGTCATTTCATTTTCCCTCTGTTTTTGGTATTCTCGTGGAGCTCTCTTAGTGTTTGCTTTTTATCATAATCCCGAGAAATCCCCAAAATAGAATTGAAAATCCTAAAAGAGATTAACAAAGAAATCAAAAGTCTCCAAAGGGGCTTCTCTACTCCTAACAATCCACCAAATCTTATCATAATTTAGTGAATGATTAATTGATATAACTAGATGGGATAGCCATCTCCTTTTATAAATTCATTATCAGTCTCAATGTTCACACATGAAATCTTATTTATTATAAAAATTCAAACTCTAAACTATTAAGACATGTGGTGTGTTTGTTTAAACTGTTTAGAAACAATTATTAGTGACCACTTGAAAAAAAGACCAAAACCCTAAAACCACTTCCTTCTCTTGAGAAAGAAAAAAAGGATAGCTAACGGTGGGGCAGGGAGAGGATTAAGGAGAGGCTGTGCCGTTCCTCCCCTTAACTCCTCTCCCTCTCTATTTCTTTTCTTGTCCTTCATTTTTTAAATTTTCTTTGTCATGCTACTTGGTAGATTTGTTTCCTTTGGATTAGGGCTCATTTTTGTGTTGGTTTTGTCTAGCCGCCATGTAGGTTTTGTCTCTCCTAGTGACAATGAGGGTAGTGCATATATTGGTAGATCTAATTTGTTTCCAAAGAGATTTTCTAGTGTTGCGACATCTCTAGGATTTCACAATTTCTTTAGACACAACGAATTTTTAAGCTTTGTCGGCAACTCAAGGATGATTCACATCTAACCTAATTTTCAAAGAACAAACCTTTTAGTTTGTTTTTATGTTTCTCTTTCTAGGGAATGCTTTACTTGCTTTGATTCTTTTGAGAGTCATTGAGTTTTCCCCAGCCTAGCAAAGCATAATGGGATTTGAGCTACCCACATTACGAGATGGATTGTACTTTTACTTAGATTTGTAATTTTTCTCATTTATAAAGTGGAAATTTGAGGATTTTACATATAAATAAATTAACTGTTGGTGTCCTTGATGAGGTAGCTTAATTTGTTGTTTAGAGTAGGGTAACTTAGATATTTTATGTTTGAATTTCAAGTTTATACGAGTGATTTGAAAAGAAAAAAAAATAATTATCTACTTTCGTATAACCTATTATCTTATAATTTATAATCAAATGTATATATAAAAATAAACTCTAATTAAATAATTAAATTGCTTGAATTATATTATAAATAAATATAATTATCAATTGCATCCAACTATCAATTACATTTAAATAATTAGTTTAAACAGATCCATCTTCGTATCAAGTTAAAATTAGAAAAGAAGTGAAAACACATTTAATAGATGATAACTCAAATGTTATCACAAAAAAAAAAAAAAAAAAAAAATTTAAGCCCCAAAACCTATTTTACATGACAAAATTAACATGATTTTATAGAATATAACTCAAGAAAAAGAATACATAGTCTAATTTGTTAAAAAAGGGAAAATGACTAACTAATTATTAATATAAAGGATTTTGTAAGGCAAGAAATAAAATAGAAATGTGAGCTGAGATAAAATTACTTGAGGATAGAATAGAAGTAGTAAGACATGTATTTAACAAGGAGAGAGAGAAAAAGAGAATTAAAAAAAAAAGAAAAAAAAAAGAAAAAGAGAGAGAGAGAGAGAAAGAGAGAGATGAAGATGACACTTGGCAATAGAGGATGAAAGTTTGTTTAACTAGGCGGAGGCGGAGGCGGAGGCGGAGGCGGGGCTGAGCTAGAGGGAGCGGCGGAGCTGCCGGAGAGGAGCTCGAACAAGGTGCTCAAGGCTCTGACCTGCATCTCAAGCGCGGGAATATAATCAGTGGCTTCCTCGAGAATAACCGGTAAGGATTGTTTCCGGCAACCGGGAACAAGGCGGCCGAGAACCTTGACTTTTCTCTGTACAGCAGGCAAACTCTTGGATTTCAGCCTCCTCACACTCACTCGCGGCTTCTTCGCCCGGTTAGTTACCACAGCCGCCGTAACTGCAGGAGACGCTCTCGGTCTCTTCTGCTTTCTGAACTTGAGCTTGATCCGATTCGTCAAAATGGCTCTACTCCACCTCGTCCTCCCCTTAGCTGCCACAGCAAGCACTCTATCGGCTGTCTCACGGACAGCACGGCCACCGCGAGGGGCGGAGGGAGAAGGACTGTTGAGACTGACCTGGTTCAAAGCTTTGATGAGTTTGGAGGAGTAGATTTGCTGCTGCGCCTCCGACTTCCAGTTCTGGCTCTGGTTCTGTTGTTGATCCTCCTTAATCAACGATTTCTTCTTCTTTCTCCTTTTGATCCGATCAGAATTTGTGTTCCCCACAGGATTCGAAATCACAGACGCCATGAATCAATCAAATCGTCTATATCTTCCCCTCTCCCTCTTTTTTTTCTCCCACCGTACGATTCAGGGAATTGCAACGGAATCAGTCTGAGAAAAAAATTCTCCGATAATCAAAACCGTAATCAGAAATTAAGCGTTGGAATTGAGTGATTAGGGACTAAAAATTGAAATTATTTCTTTAATTTGAAGGGGATTACCTGATTATGGAGGTCCTGGGGGACGAGAGAGATGAACGGGACGGAGTTGGTGAGGTGTCTGATTAAATGTTTTTGTTTGATGACGGGGAAGTGGAGGGGAAGAAAGATATAAAAGGAGTGTTATAAAAGAAGTGGAGGCGTCAATTTGCTTAGCACTCGTATTTATTGCTTTTGGGGGTTTGCTTTATGGGTGCGTCCCTTTGGTAACGGTTGATCTGGTCCTGGAGAGGGGGGCTAAGATAATGAGGCCTGCACCAATTATGTTTCAAAGCTTTTTTTTTTTTCTTTTTTTCTTTTTGTTTTTACTAAGGATCAGAATATTCTCAAAACACTCTTAATATATTTTGAGACTAATTTTTTAAAAAATAATTTTAAAACATAACTTTACAGTAGTTTAATACATTTATAATAATTTTTTAACATAATAAAAGTAATTATTTAATATTACAAGTATTTGAATATTTGATTTTGACAAGCTTTTCTTCCTTTAGATTGTGGGTGGGGGCATCTCTCACATTCATTTACCCACCCAATTCCCACTTAGTACCACTCAAACTTAAAACAACCTTAGTTCTACTTATTAAAATGAGATTACTATTAAGTGATTAGTTCAAAGTATTTAATTATAATTTTTCACATAAATTACAAAGCTCCTTTAAAAAAAAAAAAAGAATCATGCTGTTTACTCCAAACAACACATTAAAAATGGACTGCAACGCTATGAAACACCAAACCAAATAAGTAGATACTTTCTTTTACAAAACATTTTTTGGTTTGAGGTAGGCAATTAGCTAGGAGGAGGGAAAACCCGATTCAAATACCGAACCCACCAATGCCCCACTAACACTCAAACCAAGTGAGTTATATCGTATCTTCATGGGGAGCCTTACAAAACATGTTAAAATCATAGGATACTTCCAAATTCAACAAAAGAAATTAATTAGCAATTGAAAAGAAAACGAGAATAATATTTGACCAACAAAGATAACACAGTAAAACATACTATTGCTTATGTAATACCAAAGAAAAACATTTATCGTCCAACTTACATAACTCTAAGATTCGTTATTTATTATTATTATTATTATAGAATTTTATTTAACAATTAAAATTATATTAATTTATAAAACAAAAATTATTAATGGGAAAGGGTCCCAATACGAAGGACCTACTCTCCAGCCAATTATTTTTTAATTAACCCTCCATTTAATTATTTCAGTTATAGAATTTAAATTACATAATATTTTTTTTGTTATTATTGTTATTTAAAATTATTATTTAAATATCGTATATTTTAATGAATAAAAATAGAATAAAGAGAGGAATGAATTATTCTCTGAATTCAGACTGACAAACAAGCACCTGATCTGAGCACAGGTTCAGCCGTTCAGGCTACCCCCATGCCATGATATAAGGGAAAAAAAAATGCCGAAAGAAAAATAAACAAAGGAAAATGGTTATGACGTGTTGAGAAATGATTGGACAGGTCCGAGATGTTGTCTTCCACTAAGTGACGAGAGGAGAGGGGTCCCATGATGAATATTTGTTATTCGCTCCATCAAATGATTATTGGAGGAGGTGATGATAGGCAACAAGAAATCGATGGTAGGAAAGAATGCTAAAATTGGCCCTTAAACTTCCATAGTTTTTTCAATTTCAACATAAAAGTTAGCTTATTATTGTTTAGACCCTTAAATTACTGGCATGTGAACAAATAGGTTCAAAGTGGAAGGAGGCAGTCACAAGTATCACCTGACCGTTAACTCTCCGTTCATGTCCAGTTCTTCATAAACCATGTTTAATTTAACGGTTAAATAAAAACGTTAGTTGTTTTATTTAATTGAATTGAATTAATAAAAATATTTATATCATAAATAATAATAATTATTATTAATAAATATCGACTATGAATCTTAACAATTTCCTCACAAATAAACAAAATAGGTTCATAACAACGGTTCGAATCTAGTTCCTTGCGAATTTGTTAAAAAAAAAAAAAACAAAATAGGCCCATAGGAATTCCCATTGGATATGCACACGTTGTCTCATGCAAAGATTACAAGGACTTAATTAACAACATAGTAACTTTAAAGAAGAAAATAGGAGAATGATGCAAGTTTGATGAGGGCCATCCCAAAACGATAATTAACAAAATAAAAATACTTGTGCAATGTGCGTTGTAATGGTTTGCACTGGCGGAGGCACTTTTGTTATGTTGGGCTTTGCTGTGCATTTGTTTCAAAAAAGGATTTGGAGTTTTCTGCCTAAGAGAGGTGGGTTAGGCTCCACATTTCCGGTAATTGGAGGGTCCCAATTCCGTCCTGTGCGACGTGCACTATCCAATTTTTTTTTTTTATTAAAATGATCATTTTTTATGAATAAATAATCAATTATTTTATCATGCTTCCCAAGAAAGTTTTTCACTAATCATATTCATAGATATCCCCACTTCATCACTAATAAAAAGATTTACTGAGAATTTTTTAAAACTAATCTAATCCGAAGCCATACAATGACAATGCATTATTGTTTAAAAAACAGAGGCCCAGCTGGTGTAAGAGAGAGATAAGGTTAACAAAAAATGTTATCTATGATCATCCAAAAAACAATGTTATCTTCGTTTACTTTGACGATTTAATTTATTTGATGCAGATGGTTTATGAAGCTTTAAAATTAAAGTTGGCATAAGAGAAATTGATTGTCTCAAGGAAAGAAATTGACCCACAAGCAGAGAGAGTCAAGGACATAATCTTAGGATAATCAAAACAACGCCAAAATCTCTGTCATAATGACCCATGAGAAGATTAAATTGTTCCTGAAATTCTAACTTAATCATGAACCTAATGCTAATTTTAATTCCAACCAAAAGATCACGGTAGCCATGTGTATGGCAAATTGTCCATGCATTCTGGAGGCGATGAACAGAAAATCCTTAAAATATTTATTTTATTTATATTTTATGAAAATATTAAATCACCACTTAGTATTATGTACTAGGGAGTTTGCCTCCCTTGTGTGAGACAAATAAATCGATGAGCACCAACAAGGGCGAAAGCATTAAACAAGTACAGCATATATATGGATGGTGAAGAGGGTTTCAAGAATATCATTTAAAGCAGTTTTCGATTCAGCCAGTAAATTCATGTCCATGTACTAATTATTGCCAAGGTAAGCAGTAATGAATGATGATAATTCAAAGCTTTTACCTCATTCTAAGGTAAAACCATGAAATTTTAAGAGTTCAGTCCTAAAATGTATTAGTTAGAGATGTCGGCTTTTAGTAGATCAACTTACCTGCTTATCTGTTGTCAAGAGCAGTGATGCAAGTCGGCAAGCTTTGTTCCAGATGTTGGTTCCTCTTTTGCCCCCTAAAGCCTGCGCAAATTTTGTACATGTGTTAATTGGTAGCCTTCCTCTGTGCATGAAACAAAAGTCAACCCAATTAAAAGGAAAAGGAAGGGGTGTCTCCCAATTAAATTATATGGCAGATTTCAAAGTATCCCACTAGTATTGTTGGAATGAGAAGCCCTGTTTTTGTTTGATATGAACTTTACAGGTATAAACTGGCTGGCAATATGACATGTTGGCAATACAATGTTTCTGGAGGAAGGTTAGAATGATTATGTCCTCATGTTTAGCTATCCAATGAATAATTCGAGAAATGATGCAATATTTTATTCTTGCAAATTGCAATAATGGGAGATATTTGCTTCTCCCCCTATGCCATAGCCAAGCTGTATGGCCACTAAAAGGTCATCGCATTGATGAAGCATCAACACCATGGTATGAAAATGTCCAACATTTGGCAGAACCCTAGATACTCATCTTTTAGTTAACCCAAGGGGCAAGACCAAGATGCCTGCAAGAGTATCAATAAGCTCCTGTGTCTACAATAATATCTTTATGTACGATCCACATGCAAATTTCAAGTTTCAAAGCACAATATCTTACAATTCAACATATGAACACTACAAAAGGAAAAAAAGATAGGAGTGTTGCTATTTGATATTCATCTGCACATATCTCACATATATATTTGGTACTCAAATGGAATGAAATGTCACTAAAGCATAGCAAATTTCTGCAACTGGACTTCAAATTTCACTAGCTCAATCTGCATGGTGTGAACCATTTTAAAAAATGAATTTCATTTTTAATTCTCTTAACAACTAAAAGAGATGTCCTTGCTTGAAGATTAGACAAGATCTTAGCATAAATAAACATTGTTAGAAGGCAAACATCCAATGATTGCGTTACAAACACTCATTAGCAACTCAAAATTCTTTTATATATGTAACTATAGCACCAATAGTCTCTCCCTCTCTCTCTCTCTCTCTAACAAACATGTTTTTGCTATACATTTATCAAATATATAAATCCTTGTGGTTTACACTTTACACCAAATATTTTCTCTAAGTGCAGCTAACTAAGGAAGAGCTGTGGATTGTACCAAGAAAATGACTCTAGTAGTCTCTACCTCTAATCTAGCTACCGTTCCCCCTCCCTTTCTCTTTCATTCAATCTTTCACTCTCTCTCTGAAAAAGCATGATTAACTTTTATCTCCAATGCAGTTTCTTATATTTTCCCAACTTTTAATTATTTATCTAAACTGTATTACTAGATCCTTACTTGTCCCCTCACAAACTATTTTCAATGAAAGAGCCTATAAGGTTGAATTTGGTGTCCCTAATCTCCATTATTCTCCCTTCATAAGTCTTAACTACTACCACTAGAAAAAGCCTTGCAATCCCTATTCACTGCCCTTTAATCATAATATAGGATTATTTTATTGATTCCAATCCGAGGACAAAAGTATTGATAAAGCATTGCAAAGTTTATTTTGTGATTTTGGCTTTTAATTTAATGACCATTTGGAACTTGTCTTGAATGCATTACTTGGGAGCTCAACTTTAAACTAATTAAAGCATTCTTTAGTGACCTAATAACTTGAGTTTGATATCTTAAAATTTGTCAAATATAAAGTAATCATGCAACAGAAGCTTTGAACATTGGACTGCATAACTAAAGAAAGAACACATGTACATAATACAGCCATATTGCCAAGTTACATCAACATTTCTAGTGATTAGGCAATTTATTTGCAGGGGGGATGAATCAGCATGCTGAGGATTTGACTTAAAAATGCATTTAGATAACCCTAGCTAGAATGCAGCATAGGCAAACAGTGTGAATTAAATTGCATTCAAAATTATATTTCAATAAACTTTATCATTCATGAGTTCTTTGAAGACAGGTTTCATCCGAGAAAATGCTTTTAATTATTCATGATATAAGGTTTAAACCTGGTTCTGGACAATGGACAACATCAACGATCCTTAATTATTTGACAAGAAGGAACCACGGAATCATTATGTACAGATGAGGTGAACAGACTACTACATCCTCCCTAGTTGTTCCTGGATTAAGTGAGCTAAGATGTCAATAACAAGATTGATAAACCTATGGGAAACCAGATGATAAGGTTAGGATTTCAAATACCTACACGATATCAATTTAAAGGGAAAACTAACCCACAGTTTCAAACAGGGAAAAAAGAAAAAGAAAAAGGAACATAAAAGGAGAAAACTAACCATAAGTGGTAGAGTAATGAAACGATGGATATTCACCCATATCATACTTAAGTTCAAGCTTCAGGTCAATATGCTCTATGTTCACGATTTCTGTCATAATCCAATCCATATAAGTTACACATGACTCTATCTATAGGCCATAATGAAAGCAGACAAACATATGATGGCAAGAATTAAGCCTAATCCATATAAGTTAAATCTAGCTAACAGTTAACTCTGCTAAGCCTGGCAACAGAGCACTGTAGGCATTCACACATTTTTTGCAAATGTAAGCATAATTAGCCACCAACTTAGACTTCAAGCCTAATCCAATCCTTATAAGTCACACATGAATTTCTCTATAGACTGCAAGAAAAGTCAATGAACATATGTTGTGAAATGATATAAATCACACATGAATTTCTCTATAGACTACAATGAAAGTCAATGAACACATGCTGGGAACTATTGAAGTGTTTAAATCGTGCTAACTGTTAAGTCTGCCACTCTAGATAGTAGCAATAGAAACCCTGGCATTTCAGTTCTACAGGCATAAGTGGGCATTTAATAAGGATTGAATTCATTTCAAGGAACGAGTTTTCTATGTCACTAATATCTTCTCTTCTGTTCATTATTTTCCTTTCTACAGATTCTAACTCAAGTGCTTAGGGAGGTACAAAATAGCCAGCATAGGGATTATACAAAAAGCAAGTTGCAAAATAAGATTGGCATTACCAGAATCTCATAGAACAAAGGTCTTACTACAGCAGCAAACAAGCTTTGGTCAGTGTTGAAGATGAATTGATGTAACTCAGGATCTTCAAAATAGTAGGGAACCATAACAAAAATTTATCATCTGCACATATAAAGGATTGGTACTAAAGGCTATTTTTGAGTATTTTATTTTATTTTTTTTGGCCATCCATTTTTACTAAGGTTTAGTTTAGTAGCCTGTGCAAGAGTTATTCAAACTCAGGTACTTAATCCTGGCAACTACAAACTTAAGAAAAACCATTTAATCAGTTAGTATTTAAGTTTAGAAAATATCTTCCACATAATCCAGGAATGACTCTATTATTTAGCCCTTGTCATCCGATCTAGTTTGGAAATAGTTAATTGCAACTATATAATATCCTATAAACAACATAATATTCTACCACAGCTACTGAAGGCAAGACTCAATCTCATGTAAGCATAATTCAAACATAGATGAATTATGTATAATAAAAATTCACTTGCACCACAAATAGAAGCATAATCTAAACCAACTAAACAGCAAAGCCAAATAATGTACCTCTATTGATCAATCAGTTTATGGATGCTCCTCCTTGGAGCACTTCAAGTTGGCACTCGTCCATGGAAAGTGTCAAAGCCATCTGCGCTGAAGAGCAAAATTATCAAGACAACAAGGATCCAGGTGAAGAAGCAGACTAACACAGCATTTCTTCTCAAGGAAACTACATCAATGACCAGATCTTGCTCTTCAGGCTTATCATAAATCTCATGTAAAACAGCCTTGGTCAAAGCATCTACGATCTTCCTGGATTGACAGTCCAAGTCAACAGAATTTGGATTCTCTTGTCCAAGAAGTTTAGCCACAATCTCCACCTCAGCCGAGCCAACCTTTGAACTACTAATCTGTTCATCCTCGATGATAGAGCTAATCTTTGGACGGGGAGTGAGATCAGACACTGTGGAGGTTTCCAATAAAGCCAAAAGCACTTGATCACTTGACAGGACAAAGCTCTGCAGCGGAAAGAGTGAGAATCAAACATCATCTCTATAAAGGTTCCAACACCGTTGTCAAAACAGGTTTCAAGGAAATATTACCTTTGCAAATTCAGATAAAAAAACTAATTTGTGATGAATTCAAGCTAATAGCAAGGTATCTGAATAAATTTAGAAAAAGTTGCTGCGACATATTTACAGGTACCAAAATTTCACAGAAAAGAAGGATAAATTAGACATAATTCTACGGCACCACTAGCATTTTCATGAAATTTAACTTCAAGATAGGAAATAATCATGCCTCAAAATAACAACTATTACATGTCTAAATTAATTAGGAGTGCAAGCCAACGAATAATTAACCAAAAAAATAAGATTTGAAAAATACTATCAAAATAAGAACAGCTTATACACCTTAAAATTGCAATGAAACTGGAGAAAATGAAAATAAAAAACGGACGTGAATAATAAATCAGTAAGATCAACGCTATTTTCGAATCAGATTTTAAAAAAATTAAGAAAATAAAAACGATTCGTCCACCTTAAACAGCATAGAAACTCGAGGAAATGAAAAATCACGAATCGAAGTGGATCGTACCTCCGTTAGATCACCGGTGTAGTTAGAGTCTGAAATCTCAGAAACTGAAGAGAAATCGATGGGTTCGTCAGTAATCTGAGGGAAAACACCTTCAGAAACCGCCGAAAAGTCAGGACTCAAGCTCTTTTTCACGATCTGTGAAGAATCAAAATATCTAGTTAGCAAGAAATCGAGCTTCGATTGCGAGATAGAAAGCGAAATCGTTTTACCTTCTGCTGTTTTCTCGACTGAGACTCTCTCGATCGGCGACCGGAGATCTCCGAAAACCGGGAGCGTTCCTTTGGTACTGATGTTTGGTATTCCTTCATGTTCCTTCTTCCCGTTTGGCGAACTGGCGGGAGGGATTTTGGAGTTCCAATGTTTTAATAGGAATCGGCGAAATGGGCCAGACGTATTTATAATGGGGCAGAGGCTGATTAGAGGGCAATTACTTGAAATTAGGTCCATCTTGGTTAATAATGGTTAAACATGACGATTAAGATGAACGTTGAATGAATGGACCGGGCTGAAGTCGTAAAAGAACTTCAAACCCAATGACGGCCCAAAAATTATGGTAAATTTAAATCAATAAATAACTTTGGGCATTAATTTTAAAATTTCTGGAGTGATCAAAATGTATGTTGCCTATTTTCAATAAATATATATATAAATGAAATTAGAGTAATTTTCTTCCCATAAAAATAAAAAATTATGAATTTAAATCACATAACATATAATGTGAGTTACTTTAAATTTTTTCCATAAAAAAAAATACAAAGAGAAAATGAAAAATTAAAATGAGTGTTGATTACCAGCAAGACCCATGTGAATAATTGTAATTACTTTCAACTCTTACTATGCAAATTTAAAAAAGTACCAAAAAATTGTGCGTCAAAGTTGAAGAGTTGAATAACTAAAAAAACTGTTTTCACCAAATAAAAAAAAAAGTGCAATACCTGATAATCATTTCATTCGAGATTTTATTGATAATCATCGCACTCATTTTGAACCCTAAAATGGAAGCATAAACCAAATTTAATTATACAAAACTTGAATATTACCATAATGCCGTAATTATCAAGCTTAATAATAATTGCTGCCTGGGTGGCCACAGGACCCAACCAACAAATGGTGCCACACCATCGTGACCATAATTCCCACTACAACACTCATTACATTTTTTACTACCCAAGCTGAATCCATGTGTAATCCTATATGCACTATGGTTTCCAAATTCGTCTATAAAAACAGAACCCTTGGCATGTTGGTTCTCACTGCACACATAACCCTAGATAGCAGAGATGAAGACGACGACGTTGGTGATGATGATAGCTTTATTACCGGCTCTGGTATCGACCATGGCGTCGGTAGAGGCAGAAGCCATGGCGCATAGGAAGCTCCTGGCCGGCAAGAGAGGCCTTAAGGTGGAGATTGGCGCTGGTGCTGCTGCCCCTCAGGATGATACGAACCAAGGTTATGGTAATTATGGCTATGGGAGTAATGGACAAGAACCGAGTTCATCCAGCCCCGAATTTCATCGTAAATATCCAAACGGGACCAACCCTAACAATCATTAAGAACATCCGTAATCACCATAAGCATCCTTTGGTTATACAAAGTGAATATATTTAAGAATGAAGTGAAACTAAAATGAGTATTGTTTAGGTAGTTTCGCAAATATATATATGTGTGTGTATGGACTGTAATTTCTAGTAGTGATGGATAAGGATTGTATGGGAACAATGTATATCCATATATATACAGTATGTGTGTGTTATGCATATTTAAGAATAAAGTGAAACTAATTAAAATGAGTATTGTTTAAGTAGTTTCACAAATATGTGTGTGTCAATATTATACGTGTGTGTATGGACTGTAATTTCTAGCAGCAATGGATAAGGATTGTATGGGAACCATGTACGTATATCCATATATATACAGTATGTGTGTTATATACATTTAATTTATCTTTAATATAAAAAGGACCATATATATTTAATTGTATGGTTCTTTGATGTCTTTATGTGTATGATATGCATGAGATACTTAATTACTTAATTATATATATTGAAAAATTCCATTATTTGTATTTTTTAGATTAATTAAAATATAATTATTATTGTTACAATCTCATTTTTTTTTAATCATAAAACCAATAATGCTTTGCTATAAAAGCAGAGGTTCCTATAGCTATCAATTACCAAGAACTTATTAGAGCTAATTAACTAAGAAAACTATGATTTAGATTCGAGCTCAAGTAAGAGTTAACTAAACCATATGGAATATTAAGTAGCGAACTTTCAATGTACAAAAAGAAATTAAGGCTTCATACGTAACTTTTGAAGGATCTCTTACATATATTGATTACTAGGGAGTTTATGGGGTAGGAAAAATAGGAATTTCATATGCGTGGAGCCGACCTTTAAGGCCTTAAATACTTTACATGTCTTATGCATAAGGCTGCGTTTGGAAAAAGTTTTCCCTAGAAAAAGCTTTGAATGGGAAACTACTTATATTCGAAATGTTTTGATGGCAAGTTGATAATTACATGCTTTGTTTAAATAGCAACCAACTTAATATTTTGATTTGAAGTCAAGATAAAAAAATTTTAAATTTATGTAATGCTAAACAACTAAGCAATTAATGTAAAAAAAAAAAAAAGCTTTGTTTAAACTTCAAATAATTTCTCTTTTATATTTGGCAAAAATTTAACATTATACTCATTTTTTCATATTTTCATAATAAAAAATATTATATTTCAACCCTGTTGTTATTCAATCACTTTTTTTTTTTTTTTAAACTAATATATATCCAATCACTTTACTTATCCATCCATTGTCTATATATATCCTATCAACCAAAGTTTCCCTTTAATTATCTTTCTATTTGAGATAATATGTAAAAGAATAATGATTGATACACAATCTAATTCAACACATAATTTGATTCAATACATTCCACAACATATTCATTAAAAAATTATTATTTTCAAATTTGAATTCAAGATAATAAAGCTTTTAAGTGCAAAATTTACTGACTAAATCGATCGGTGTACTAATCATTTTCTTACGTTAAAATAACGGGAAATGATATGTGCACCCTCTAAATCGACACACCCCACCACACACCCTCGGTTCATGGAATAAAGTATGGTGGGGTGTTGGGATACTCTTATCCCTGACTTCTCTACCACAAATCTATTTACAGTGATGTAATCCTTTTGGCTTCTTGCCTTTGTGGTTTGGGTCAAATCCCTAGAAGTAATTTGAAATCCCATCTACATTTTCCATAATTGATGCTTCCCTAATTGGAACACCATCAGATCTTTTATTTAAAAGAAGGTTTCCCATGATAACCAAGTTCTAGATTCTAGTGGGTAATTGCTTTAAAAATAAATGGGTAAGATTCCAATGCTCCAAAGTAAATTATTGTTGGCGGCATTAGAATGCCGGCCCCTAAATCCATGTATAATCAAACCCCCTCCCCCCAAAATGGGTAAGATTCCACAAACATAGAAGGAAAATGGAAACCACTTGCGAATTGCAGCAACATCATTGCATCTCTAACATCTTCACAATCCTTCTCTTCTATAATCAAAACCCCTAAATCCTTTGTTCCCCCATATCACAACTCAAACAAAACAAACACAAATGTTGGATCCTATTTTTCCACAACGACCACTGACAGCCACCAAAATAATTTGGGTAGCCCAACTCCTAACTCCACCTTCCCTTCACTGCCTCAACCAACGTCTATTTTTGCAACACAAAATTTGAGGGTGTTTGCTTCTTACACGAATAAACTATGAATGGCAACAAGATTAAGTCTTTACCTAGCAAATTCTAAACTATGGGATCTTTAATTTTTAGTTGGTGTGTAACGGAGGGTGATGTACCATGATGTGCGTCAATCATTGTCCAAAAATAACTTATCACCAAATTCTTACTCTAAAAAAAAAAAAGCTACTACTTTTATTAGGGAAAAGATGATGTAATTCTTAAGAAAAATTATTGGTATACACTAGATTTAACACATTTTTTGACACTAAATTTAACACATTTTTTAATACTCGTTTCAATTTAGTTATTAAAATATAATATAAATATAACGGATTCAATTCCTGCATCTTGTACACAGAGTCGCATCATTAAGTTTGTCTGCGTCTAATTTTATACTAAAAAATAATAATTTTTTAATAAATATGTTATGCAATATATTAAATCGAAATGTGTACCAATCATTATCTAATTCTTAAAACTTATTAAGTGGGTCTCAAATTAAGGAAAAATTATAAAAAGTTTTATTTTCAAAATTGAGAGAAAAGCATAAATCCCTGAACTAGTGAAAAACATAAAACATAAACTTTTCCAACAAATGCAGTAATCCACTCCAATTAACTTGGTGACTTGTAAATATTTCTGATTGAGTAATTTGAGTACGAATCCATTTTTGAAAGAACAAATATATAATTGTATCCATAGGTACAAATAACATACAAATTGGATGTTATTGATCCCTATGGTATGGATACAATATCAAGCCTAATATCAATAAGAATAATAATTAATACACTTTTCAGTTTATCGTACTCTACAACACAATTATTAAAAAATTATTATTTTTAAATTTAAATTTAAAGCAAAAAAATTTCAATTATAGAATTTAATAATTAAATCAGTAAGTGTTGACAAATGTGTTTAATCAGAGTAAAATAATTATTTTCCTATTAATAAATCTCATTTTTTAAGAGAAGAAATTACTAGCTAATTAAAATTTTGAGACCCGCACATATATTTGTATAGGTAAAAATAAAGAATATGAAATGCACTACAAATACAATTACAATAAGTAGATAAATTCCAAATTTTGGTTATTATTTCATTGATAACCTAGGGCAAAACCAAAATGGACGGGTGATATATATGACAATTGTGAGAATTTAGTTAATAAATGTTGTCAATTATTATTTTAAATATAATGGACAATATAATGTTGATATAATTCAAAAAGTACCCTTTTTTTAGATTAAATAATTAATTATATAATAAAAGATAATCTTCTCATTTGAAAATGCCTCTTAAAATTTAAATTTAAAATATCTAACGTGGATGTTCAAACTTTAAACATTTAATTACTAGACATCACTCAAGGGACATTCAAAAAGTACTACTATTTTTGTTACCTAGAGATTAGAGATTGATCCTTAAATTTGTGATTAAGAATGTAGATAACTCTACTATGAGATTATATGGCTCATAATAAAAAATTACTACTCTCTTCATTTATCTTTCATAAATTTAATTTAACTTTTTAATTTTTTAGCTTTTTTTTTAAGATATAAATTTTAAAAAAAAATTTAACATATTATATAAATAATAATTAAATTTTTTTTGATTAAATGAAAATAATCAATAAAAACTACATATAAGAAAAAAAAATTAATTTTTGTTCATATACATTATTAAATTTTCATTTAAAATTCATGTCTTAAAAGTTAAAAAATAAAAATAAGTTAACTAAAAATTAATTGGAGTATTCTATTGGGACAACTTCTCATATAATTTATTTATACAATTTTCATATATTATTAAATAAGTAAATGCATTTAATATCGTAGATCTTAAATGAATAAAAAAATTAATCATTTAAATAACACGTAAAATTATATCAAAAGATTATACAAAAAAATTATATTTACATCATTTCTCTATTATGATAATGGATCACAATGGCTTATATATTAACATTAAAATAGCAAGAAAGATTCGGAATTCTGCGAATGAACTAATCAAAAACTCCATTAACGAAAATTCAGGTCGTAAAAGTCAACGTTCATAGATTTTTTTTAAGCCCTTTTACCCCATGCACGAAGATTTGAACCCAAAAATAAGAACATATACCAGAATTATTTAATTAAAAACTAAATTATCCATGAAAAATTTCTTAATTATCAATCTTTATAATAATTACTTTGGGTGGATAGTCGCTCCACCAATGGTGTCCCAACATTGTGACCTCTCATTTCAGCCCCAATAATATACGTATTTCTAGTGCTCGGCAGTACTCACAATTCAACCTTCCCCACCCCGAACAGCGTCCCATTTTGTCTATAAAAACCCACATTTACTCACTTATTCTTCATTCTACTTCCCATTTCAAAAACCCTTTCTAACTTCAATATCTCAACCATGAAGATCACAACCTTGCTGATTGTCCTCTCTGCTCTTCTCATGATCTGGGTGGCGGCTCTGCAAGCCAACGCCGCCATGACTGATCGCAGACTTCAACGTGAGGCCAACCTAGGTCGCAAGGCTGATGTTGGTGCAGCTACTGATGCCAACAGCGCTGCGACAGTAGTAACCAGTAGTACTGATGGTGCTGCTGATGATGATACGAACCCGAATCCTGGCAAGTACGCACCTAGTTCTGATACTTTTACTCACCGCAAATATCCGGATGACCAAAACCCTAACCCTAAAAATTAATTAGTACCCATAAGATAGACGAGGAATAAAGTGGAACAAGTATCAAAAACAAGTATACACTTATGTTTGGTTCCACGAGTAATGGTTATGCAAATCTATGGCTTGTACGTTGTATGTGAAAAATTAATATATATGGTTTGGTACCTTGCCGTCTTATGTATGATAGAGTATAAAATTGTGATTTGTTTACCTTTTTTTTTTTCACATATTATTAATTTAGAGATAATTTAAGAATTTATCTATATTCATACCCCTAAAGAACAAAGAGATAAAGAGAAAATTTTAATGATTGGATAAATAATTAAAGTTAATGAATAATTTTAGTCATAAGTTTGATAATCTGTAAAAATATAAATTGTCATCAAATTTTTATTTTAAAAAAATTGAAAAACTACTATTATTATGGGACAAAAAGGATAATTCTTAAAACTTATGAAGTATGTCTGAAATTTAAGGAAAAGTTGAAAGAAGTTTTACTCTTCAAAATTGAGAGAAAAGCATATATCCCTGAACTTTCTCAAGTATAAAACAAAAGACAAACTTTTCCAACAAATGCAGTAACGCACTTCAGAAACGTGGTGACTTGTAAGTATTTCTGATCGAGTAATTTGAGTACGAATCCTATTTTCGAAAGAACAAATAATTTTATCCATAGGTACAAAGAACATCCAAACCTAGGCCTAATATTAATAAATCTCATTTTTCAAGTTAAGTAATTAAAATTTTGAGATCCACACACACATATATATAGGTAAAGAATAGCATTGATTGGTTTACATTTTTTTTATCAACAAAATAAGTAAATTTTATTATGCAGAGTATAAGGAATATTCCAACCCATGTACAAAATTAGGATACAACATATTGATTGGTATATATTTTAATTTAGGACACTGATTGGTGCACACCCG